GGGAGAGAGAGAGAGAGAGAGAGAGAGAAAGTAAGTGAGAAAGCCAGCCTCCAGGTCCAAACTTGAACCATGGTCAGCCATGTGGGAGTCCAGTGCCCTTAACCACCATGCCACATGCTGGCCCCCATTCTGGATCTTACACCTTCCGTGTCCTCATGCCAGGCAGGGCAGGGCAGAGGGAAGCCCTTCAACCCCTCTGACTCCCAGTGTTCAGTGCCAGCACCCCTGGGTGTGGGTGCTCAGATTTTGCGAGTCCATGTGTGCGTGTCAGCCCTTTTCAGTGGGTGCTCAGCCGCTGTCCAGGCCTGGGTGTGGGTGAGGAAAGAACAGCGGCCCAGGGCCACATGCTGAGGCCACGTGCATCTCTCAGGGCCTGCCTCCTTACCGGGGTCCCCACAGGCAGTCGCAGCTCGAGGGAGGTGTGCAAACAGGTGATCCACACAGTGACACGAGGGTGAGCCTGTGCAGGAGGGGGCGTGCAGCTGCCACTGGGCGAGGGGTGACGTAAGGGCCCCTGGGGGGCCCTCACAGAAGGAGGCATGGTGGGTCTGCACAGCCTCGTGTGGGCCCTATCTTCTTGGGGCACTTCGACTTGAACTGCCTTGTGGCCCTTACAGTTTTATACTTTCTAAAATTTTTTACTTTTTAGAAAAGACTTAAATTGTGGTACAATACACATAACATAGGTTTTACCATCCTAGCTCTATTTCAATGTACGTTTCGATAGCGCTATGTGTATTTACGTGGTTGTGAAACTTTGCATCTTGTCAACTGAGACTCTGTCATTAAACCCCTCCCAGACCCCCTCGCCCCCGCCCCGAACACCACCATTCTCCCTCTGTCTATGGGTTTGACCCCTCTGGGTGTCTCACGGACGTCCCTGGTGTCTGCCTTGTTTCACGTGGCACGGTGCCCTCCAGTGCCCTCCAGGTCCACCCACGTAGCAGGTGTCAGCATCCCTGCAGCCTGAGCAGAGCCCCCGCCCAGGCCTTGGGCTCCACCTGGTCCTCCGCCCGCCTCTGTTGAGTGCGTTGAGGGCCTTGGGCAGACTCGGCCATGCTGACCCTTCTTCTTGCTGCCTCAGTCTGACTTAGTTTACTTCCCAGAATCTCTAAATCTGGGTTTCGAGGGCCAGGAGTGGAGTTGCCAGTGGCTTTCCTGGCGGCTCACTGCAGCTGTGCCTGGCAGGTGTGCACCATGGCTGCAGAGCAAGGCGGCTCTGTCATTTTGCTGTCCTGTGGTGAGATGGTCACTGTGGAATCACAGACCTTTAAGTCACCAGCAGACGCCTCCCCCGGTGAGTCCTTAGCTAGGGGCAAGCAGCAGCCAAAGACAGGCTGAGCCTATCTCTCTGCTGGCCTGAGACTGGCTGCCCAGGCTGTCTGAGGACAGCGACCCTGCTAGGTCCCTGAGACACCTGGGGGTAGGTCCCCGCCGGCCTCAGCACGTGTGCCGCTCTGGTCCCTGAGCCCTCACAGCCCTCCGTCCTGGTGTGCTATCTAGGCCATCTCTGGTCTCTCCTTTTTCTTTGCCATAAGGCGTGTGCGTTCACTGGGAAGGGGGCATGGCGGGTCTGGAGAGACTGAGAGAGGGAAAACGAGAAATCGCCCCCGGGGGGCTGTGATTCCTTCTCCTCTATTCTCCTCTCGGGATTTGGGCACACATGCACACGAACCCAGCAGGAGTTTCACGCTCCCAGGTCTGGGACTCGAACCGTGGTCAGCATGTGGGAGCCCAGTGCCTTAACCTCCACACTACCTGCTGGCCCCAGTCTTTCTTTTTTAAAAACATCCAGCTAAACTAAAGTTACATTTCTGAGTTTGAAAGCTGTCGACGTTCAGCGTAGAGATGAGGACAATTTGTAATAGACACAGAGGGCAGTACCAGTTTCCGGCACCTCGCCCGGAGGGGTCCCCCTGCTGGATTTTTGCTCTTCGCATCTGCGGCTTTCCTCTCCAGAGCTGGCCTTCGGGAGGGAGTCTGGAGGCAGAGATTCCTCCCTGTGGGGCGGGGCTTCACCTCGGGAAAGCTGGTGCCAGTGCAGGCGTTGTTCCGGCAGGACTGTCACCTTGTGGCCACCAGGAGAGGTGGGACAGGAAGATCAGGTTTGACCAAATATATGCCTGGCTGGGAGGCACTGGGCATGCAGGGCAGTGGGCCTGGTTCCCAGAATTCTCTTTGTCAACCTGGCATGTGGGACTCGTCACTGTCATCTTGGTCCCTGCTATCTGCTGTATCTGTCCCTCAGCCAAATTGGAGGCAGGAAGTGATGGCTGCTTCTAAACTACCCATGACGCTGTGGAAGGTTCTGGTCTCACCTCTGCAATAGGTCATGTGAACTCAGGACTCGGCTCCCCTGCTGGGAGAGAGGGATGAGTGAAGCTGCCCCTCAGGTGCCATGAGGCACCATGAGCAGCGACAGAGGGTGTGTAAAGAGGGGTGTGTACAGGAGGGTGTGTAAAGGGGGTGTACAGGAGGGTGTGTACAGGGAGGCTTCCTCGTGCCTCTGAGCACTTTGGCAAGGACGGGAAGAGCCCTGACATGCTTGAGGGGACACGAGGGTTCTGGCCCTGCATCGGGAAGCCTGTCCTGGGAAGGCAGGCTGGGGACATCCCAGCTGCCAGCGTGGCTGGTCCCCACTCCGTCCACGGGTGCTGGATAGGGCACAGACCCGTGTCGCTTGATTATTGCCCAATAAGAGATTACTGTCTCTTGATTAGTGGTGGCCAAGGGAGGACTCCAGACTGTGCTCCAGGGACACAGGCCAAAGCTTATCCAAGCCCTGTGGGCATGTCCAGGACGAGGGCCCGGGGGGGGGGGGTCCCAGGGGTGCTGATCTAACCACAGCCCTTGGCCCTGGCATGGGGCCCCTTCAGAAATCCTGGTGCAGCATTCTGGTGCCATATCTGTGCCGCCGGCCAAGGGCAGTGTGGTGAGAGGGGGTCACCAGGCTTGGGCCTGTGCTGAGTGCGTTCTAACCGGCCGAGCAGAGGCTCTGCAGCCTCAGCCACCCCGGGGCCTAACAGCGCCTGGCAGTTCTGCTCACGGAGCGGGGGGGCCGGAGCCACACAGTCAGTCTTTATGTTCCCACAGCTTAACAGCTTTTGGAAAACAATGCTTACAAGCCGAAAGGAAAGTGAGATTTTCCTTCTGCTTTTAAATGACTGCCTTTTCTTACGGCTCTGTGTCCCGGCGGGCTCTGTGCAGCCCTGCTCATCTTGGGATCATATTGGCCACCACCCTCATTCCATATTCCATGCGAAATTCCATGTGGTGCTTGCAAAATCCAGCTTCACAAAGCCGTGCCGTTTTTGAAAGGAGTGAGGCCCATCTGCGTGTCAGTCACCAGCCGCCTCCACCTGGCTCCTCGCGTGGCATCCGAGCTGTGGTCGGGCTTTGCTCAGACACCTAAGATATCCCTGGGTGTCCCTGGGAGCTCTGGGGGTGCTCTGGCACACAGCCTGCTGAGTGTAGGGTTGCCTCATTGGATACTCGGTGGCCCTGTCCAGTAGGTGTTACCCTCCAGTCCCCGGGAGATGCCTTGCAGCAGTGCGGTCTTGCCAGAATGCCCGTGCTGGAACCAGATGCCAGAGCTCTCCCGAGGTGAAGACCCACCCGGCAGGGAGGACTGCTCTGCCCCCAGACTCCCTCCCGAAGGCAAGCTCGCTGGAGAGGAAAGACCTGCCGGCCCCCTCCTCCACCAAGCGGTGTGGCCTGGAGCCAGTATCTCCACATCTGCTCTGCAGACCTCTGGTCGTTCTTCGATTGTCACCTAGATCTTCTCCCTCTGTCACTTCCTGCTTTAGTGCCTGGAACCCCTTCAGACCCCAATCCCTCTCCTGACCCAAGCCAGAGAGCCATCCTGACAGTGACAAGCTGTTGTTCTTCCTTCCTCCAGGGGGCCCACTGTGCTCCTGCTGTGTCCCAGACCCCATGGGACTCTCCTTTCTGCCCACCTATGGCTGCCAGAGCAACCGCACGGCCAGCGTGGCCGCCCTGCGCATGAAGGCCCGCGAGCACTCGGAGGCCGTCCTGCAGTCCGCCAACCTCCTGCCCGCCAGCAGCAGCAGCCCCGGCCCTGTGGCCAAGCCGGCTGCGGGGCCCAAGCCGGCCCCCCCCGACGGCAGCCAGGACAAGACCCCTCCGGCCAAGGAACAGAGCGAGGGGGAGAAGAGCGTATGAGGGCCCAGAGTGCCCCAGCCTGTTGCCCGCCCCTGCCCCTGCTGCTTCCAGCTTCAGCCCACATGGAACACTCTTTGAATAGCAAGGGGAAGCCTGCTGCCCTGGGGCCTCCGGGCCCAGGGAGGGCGGAGCAAGTCATGCTACTCCCTCGGCACCTGGACTGTCCCTGTGGGGTCCTGCTGGTGGGGCTGTGTTGTCCTGGCTTCTCTGAAGACAGGTCGCAATGGTACGGGACAGTAGCACAGCTCCAACTCTGTGTGGAGACCTCTGGGATTTCCATCTGGGCCCAGAAGTCTTAGAGGGAGGTGGAACTGCTCACCCTGTCCCCTTCCTGTCCCCTTCCTGGGCTGCCTTCGAAGGGCTTGCCAGCCCTAAGAACTGTGGCATGGGTTGCCCTTGAGAGATGCCCAGGGCTGCAGTCCTGATACAAGATGGGGTTGTGCCCTTACGTTAAGAACCGGGAACTGGTGGACTCCCAACCCATCTTCGCTCCCCTGGACCAACACAGGCAGCCGTCCCCTTTCTCGTGTTGGAGGATGTCGGCTGTGGGCCTGGCTGGCGGGTGAGAAGACACAGGGTGGGCATGGCCGGCAGGATGCAGCCTGTCCCAGGGAACCCCGTGACTCTGTCCCTAGCAGATCTCACTGGGCACACGTGGCCAGGGCGGCTGGGCCAATGGACTGACCACTGCCTCTGTGAACTGGGCCTGCTCTCTTGGCATGGTGTACTTGGACCAAGCATGGGCCCCGCAGCGGAAGCGCCCCCAGTGGGCCTGCCTCCCTCTCAGATAGACCTGTGGGCTGGTGGGAAGTTGGCTGGTGGAAGGCTCTCAGGTCCAGCAATGTCTGGAAGCCCTGGGAGGGCACGGAAGGCCCCAGGACCACCTCCAAAATAATTATGCATCTGAATGAACCGCCATCACTCAGGTCCCTGGCACATGGAGGGGCCTCTCCAGTGGTATTTTTTACTAGGAGAAAAATGAGACGGGGATGACGCGAACACGGGGATGGAGCTTGGGGGACGATGCTGGCTTCGCTGTGGTGTAGAGGGTCAATTCCAAAGGCCAGATTCCATGGAGAGTCCTTTTTGGTCTAACGTGGCCCTTTCTCTCGTGGGGATGGTAACCCCGAAGAGACCATGGGGAATGTGCAATCGCGTAAACTCTGCTGCTCCCTGGCAGGGGCGCCCGGCACCTGGAAGGGTTCAGCCTTTGTGGCTGCGGGTGATGGTGTTTCCAAGCAAAGTTACTGCTTTGGTGATGATTATCTTCATTTCAGTTATTATCCTCGAAAGGTTCTACTCTCAGATTCCCTGCCCCCTTCTTAACCCGCTCCCCAAAGCTCCCCCAACAATACTGCTAACTGTATGGGGCCTCGTCGACGGCGACTGCAAAGCATTTGATAAAACACACTGTCTCCTTAAAAAAAAAAAATCCAATCCTTCTTCCTGCTGTATTTTGCTTGTTGAGTACAAAGATGAAACGATTTGCCAAAAAGCGGCCAAGTCGCTTCCGTTTCCCTGTAATTACGAATGTTGGGTTGAACGATGTAAGCTCAAGCCCTTATGTACACTAACTCTTCAATCTAATTGTTTGATTAAACTCGTATTTCCTCCAGAAAGGTACATAAATAAGTGAACTGTTGAGCAAATTAAGAATACTTAACAGCATTGCATCTGAAAAGTAGTTACGCTGATTAAATTTTGTGTCCTTGAGGACTTTCAGGAAATTACTTTTGATCGTCAATAACACAATTAAGTAAACTACACACACATTAGCATGAATAATTGATAAGAAATTATGTATTACCACGAAGCACTGATTTAATAATTCATGATGCGACACTCTAGTGACTGTGCAAAACTGAGAACATCGGAAAGTCGGCCTGATGTTCCTGAAAGAAAGGAAAAACTGAGCGCCAAGCTCTGCAGACACCGAGTGCTCGATTCTGTTGTACAAAGGCAAAAAGTAACCGCTGCATGATGTAGTTTCTGTTTGTTTAAATACCCCAATAAATTTAGAAGAGTTCCAAGGAGATCCGAGCACTCGCATCCTCTCTTTGTTCCCCTGGCTCCGAGGCTGCAGGGCTGGGTGGAGTC